TAGCATATAAGTTTGACACACACAAGCCCCCAACGCGACGAAAGGCAGAGGGCCACGAGAGAACAAGCGGACAAAAAGATTAAGCATTATGAGAATAGGCATTGCGCTCGGCTGTTGAGACGTATGGCTGCTCATGTGCGGAGGTGCCGGTTTTCCTCAAGAACATAGCACAATGCTACCATACAAAAGTCCCATTTAATGGCCTTGAGAGAGCCACACAGCGTTTGTGTAATCCTTGAAGTCTTCTTGTCCTCTCGGTCACAGTCGTTCTCACGCCACATAAGACATGCAGGAATGCAATTGAGCATCATGTGTACTTGTTGAATGCAATGCAACGGTGTGCTGCCTTCAGCTGGCTAACACTGGCAAAACATGAAATCAACTTCGTGAAAATGCTACAAGCTTTACGCCGCTGTCACATCCACTCCCGCCACAGACGCACGGGCACAAGGTGGAGCGCTCGTGGTGCATCACGCCTTTGCCTGTCCACAGTGCAGCCAGCAATTGTTGTGCCCATGTGTCTGTGTGGCCATATCCCCATGTGTCCATGTGCCTATCTGTGCGTGCAGCATGGACCCTGCCATGATGCGCCTCAGACACACATTATATGCAGACTGCAACACGTATGTGCAACCAGGGCGGTGAAGTTGATGGCATGGAAAGCGCATTTGTCACTTCAAAAACTCGCTCCACATGACGTCAGTGGCCAGAGTATGGCTCCCCACGACGTCAGCGGCCCAATTATGGCTCCCAAACACGTCAGCTGCCAGCGTATGGCTTCCCATGAAGTCAGCTGCCAGCGTATGGCTTCCCATGGCATCAGCTGCCAGCGTTTGGCTCCCCATGACGTCAGCTGCCAGCGTTTGGCTCCCCGTGACGTCAGCTGCCATTGCCCTGGTTGCAAACAAGTCGACAGCTGGGAGGGCGGAATGGGACAGCCACTTCAGCATCTGGTTTCCTCGCACCCTCTGCTCGCACATGCCTGCTTCCGTCCCCCTCGTCGCACACCCCTGGTCGCACACCCCTGGTAGAACACCCTTGGTCGCACACTCCTGGTAGCACACCCCTGGTCGCACACTCCTGGCCGCTTACCCTGGTCGCGTACTCCTGGTCCCACACCCCTGGTCGCGCACCCCTGGTCGCACACCCCTGGTCGCCTTACGTGGGCCTCTCATCAACAGCAGCCTGTGGTGAAGGGAAAAAACCGTCTGATTCTTCCCTGGCCAAGTCTGCTGCTCCCATCAGCCACAGCACATCACGCATCGCAAAAGAGCAAGGCCCGAAAAGTTGCGGACCAGCAACTTCAAAGTCACTTTTCCGCAACTTGGGTTTCGGCAAAAAAAATTCTAGGTCAAAGGCTACCGTGGCAGGGTTGCGTGAAAGATGACTTCTCCGCAACTTTTCCGCAGCTTTGAAGCAACGGTTACGACAACCCTGCCGCAACTTCAGCAGTAGCTTGGGGATCACTTTTCCGTGATGTTCACCTCAGTGACATATACGTCACCATGCAGACACCATACGATTACATCTGCGTGTCGCCATATTGCTATCTTTGAGCATTTGTGAAGTCACTATTCCACGTCATCATGAAACATCCATGTGGAATCACTCTTTATGCCAGATGGCTCCCCATCCCCGACAAATCATACCGTGCTGCATGTAGGGTCTAGATGGCCTCAGGTGTACGATCGTGATTTTCGCATCCCATGTTTCACAGTTCCAACCGGTCACGACATCTGGCCTTTTCGGATAGGCCGTCAAGCTACAGTAATCTTACGGATACACTTCATCGCGAGCATCCATCCGATCACAGATGTGCGTGTGCGATTAGTCATGCAATATCTATGCACATACATACGCCGTCGGATCTTGGAAAATATTTGTCCAACTAGGACACCTAATGCCACTCGTCCCGCCACATGTAACACTCGCGTAGCGCACGATATTACATCCGTGAACACCTCCATCACCCATGTGGCAAAAAGACACTGGACGATAAATCAGTGCCTATTATAAATACTGTATCAAGGATGCCCACGTTGCGGATTGTACGATTGCCATTTACACACGTCGTGCGAGTACAATCGCATCTAACGGCCCATATCCAACATGCTGCAAATTACGCCGCGAGAATGGCGCCGCAATGCACGGCGTACTCGATAATGGGTATCGTATGGCCGTGGGTCTAACAACTTCACGGTCGCCCATATTTGTCACCGTATTTGTAATGTTTTTGTCTGATTATTCAAAAGTACCACAACATCAATCACTACACACTGCCTCATCTAAACACCTTCTTCAGCCCACATCATACAAATGGATTTATTATTGTTGCCCAATCCACACCGCCTCTCACGCCTCGGAATCACTATCCGATGAGAGGGCGTCAGACTCGTTACCGCCATCCTCGGAGTCCTCGCCATCCTCTAGTAAGGATTCCAGCCCGCAAGATGATAGACGGAGCCCATGCCTGCCCCACTTCTAGGACTTCTTCGCCTCGTCGTATACAACCCTGTCATTCCCGCACACGGCAACCGCAATGGCATCAAACGCCAATTTCTGAATCCGACGCACCGATGCGCCGTTCTTGCAAGGAGAATTATGCAGCTTCCCCTTGCGCACATCCCAGTTGATAATGGCGTCCGTTATCTGCAATGGCAAGAGACACTGGTTACAACGGAGAATTGTATGGACGTTACAACACCATATGTGCGTGGCTTAGTGGACGTACCAGGTGCTCGAGCCACGACATGTGGTAGAGCTTTAAAGTTGTTTCCTTTTCTTCTCGCTTCCCACCGAACGCCGAGATGGCACACGCCAAGAACGCTCTGGACGCAAAGGGCAGTCCATCCTTGCTGAAGTGCCACCTACACAAGGCGGGGTCCACTGCGCACACAACAATTGACATGTGTACAAGGGTAGAAGGCATGGGTGAGGGGGAGGGGTGAGTGTTCGTGGTGGTACGCACTGGCATTGCAATCATGGCGTGGTTCCAATTACAGCGGCCATATGACATGCGAGCTCGCACCCTCAGCTTCCATGGGTGGGCCATATCTTATGCGAACACGAAGCGCAGTGCGTTCCGCTTTACGTGCCCAAGGGCTGTCCCGGTCCTCGTCGTCACGGAAAAGACCGAGACGGGGAAGAAAAACGTCGCGAGCGCACCCGGCCAAGCCTGTTTTGTACTCAGACAATGTCTTGTTCAGATCCTGTCGTCGTGCCTTATCGGCGTCTAAAGCTAGAGTCACAGTTTTGGGGGGAATCGTGGCCACCACGTGGCAGAGGCCGGCAATTTTGGCGTCGAGGCTCGGATAGAAGTCCATTTTCTCGTTCGAGGCTTCTAGAAGCAGATGATCCTTTACCAAGTCGCATACTCCCTACGACAAAGGAAAATTCGTTGCGGGGGGGGTGAAAATGGTGACGAAATCTATATGGCCGAAAATTCGAAGCCGATATCACGTTATCAGTAAACGCTCACCTTCCATGCCTTCTCTGCAGGTAGGATATCAAGAGCATTTTGGAGCAGTGGCGACTTGTCGGCACTCCTGTGCTGTGCCACTTTCGTCTCCAACTCGTCCTCATCGCACGTGGATGCGTCATCATCAGTTTGCTGGCGTTTCTGCTTCACGGTGTCCCTTTCACGCGATGCCGCCGCACGCGGTGATGCTCGCTTGCGCTTACGCTCCCCGCCAAGAGCAATAATAGTGAGTACGTGTGTCTCCAGACGAGCCATTGTCTTCGCGGTTTCCATCTGGGAATCCCGCAACTCCTCAAATTCTTCGCATGCTACGTAGCCACTGGCTGGTTCTTTGCGCTTCTTTGATGGTGGCACTTTTGAGGCATGTTCCTCCTCTGCGCCGTCATCCCCACACGGGTCGTTGCTTGAAGACTGACCACCGGCGTTCTCCTCCCCGTCGTCGTCCTCCTCGCCTTCCATTAACTAGTCCAGCAGGCGTTCCTTAATTGCCTCTGTGTCGTCCTCCACAGCGTTTGCGCTCGCGATAATTGGTGTGGCGGCTGCATCCGCTGCGCCTCCCCCGACATCCTCGGCGCATTGTATCTGCAGCGCAACCTCATGAGTCGCTGGGACGACGGGTGGGGTACATATCACTGTGTTATGCTGAAGTTTACATGGGCTATTTCACCGGTGTCATGCATTATCACGCTGACACCAACATTATAATAAGTGTAAGGGTAACGATATGTTACCTTCTGCGTGCCTCGCTTCCTTCGCCTCCTTGCTATTCTTTGATGTGGTGATTTTGCGCCTCTTTGGCTCTGGTACACGTCCACCTTTCTTCCTCTTCTCCGGGTACTGATACAAGGATGCTAACCACTCCGGCGCATTTTTCGCACGCACGGAATGACCCCCACCGGCAGTACTCATCTCAAACTCGCTCAGAGACAGTATCGACAACTGCAGACTCAGCAGTTGCGAAATGGTTTACGCGCGGCCAGCTAGAGTTGTACTCTCACTCTGTCCGAAATGACACCAACGTCGACATCGCAAAGTCGGAGACCGTCATTGCCCACCGCAAACATTGCGGCCTACTATTGGACACAAGTACATATGTACACATGTCACGGCTGGAGTGGGCTGCTGGATTACATGCCATTTTTCGGCCATGCGAAACTTGTACCCGACTTTGTAAAGTGTCCTGCGAGACTAAACCCTCAAAAGCACTTCCGTAGCTGCGCTAAACATTCGTGATAAAAAAATAGCGACATTTTACAAGTTGTTCCTCTTTGACAGCCAGTTGCTAGCCAGGCTAATAAGCATACGCACGCTCAGTGCCATCCGAATACACAACCCACATGTATAATGGCTATTTGCTGCTCCATAACCATCTATAGTTTGCTCATATAGACAACATTTAGAAGTATGCATTAACGCAACAAGTACAATACACACATTCAAGCACCTGAATAGGGCTCTAGTCTGTCAACACCAGCAAGGTACTAGCATTGCGTTGGGTCCATTGGCTATCCATCACATGGCCTTATGCAGCTTTGTCGTCATGGTTGACCTCCTCCCAATCATCCTCCTCCTCCATGTCATCATTCCCTGGTTCATATACTTCGTCATCGTCCACAGACGCCTCGTCATCTGTATAGTCCTCCGGTGGGTCCTCAGGTTCTTCAGCCATGGGCTGGTCCTCTGTGGCCTGCGTGGCCGCCTCCACCTCCTCCACATCATTGATGGCTCTTGACACTCGGCCCTTGCACCTGGAACGAGCCTCGGTGGGATGCGCTTCTTCCAATCCCACCATAGCGGCCCTCCACTCCCTCCATCGGTTCCAACGCTGAAACTTCATGAGTAGCCTTAAATTCTCCTCGGTGCAGCCTGCTAGTGCGTGCCTCTCTGCGTCGGACATTTGCACCGTGCACCTTATATGGGAGTTCGGCCGAAGGACAACCGTCTTCTTACGACCCCAGACGCACTTGCTGCCTGCCAACAGATATTATACGGACGTAGTACCTCTGCTTCGCAGCGTTCCACATTACACCTGTACGACCACTACTTGCAGCCCTTCCAGAGTTACCTGGAGCTGCCTGCACGGGAGTCTTATCGCGGCTGCGCAGCGCCAGTGCAAGATGGCCACGCTCTTGTTGACTAACCAGAGCAGGTGTCGTGTTCATGGCAGGGAGCAGGCCATCTCTCTGGGCAGGTGTGCGCGGTGCAGGGCATGGTGAGATAGCAGCCACCGACGCGATTGTACGCGTTTGAGGTGTCTGTGCGATGTCCAGCTGGCCGCCCTGATCTGCCGTGTACTCGGTTTTGGCGTTCTTTCGTGGCGTCGCCATCGCCCCCGACGTGTCGCCCACGGCACCCAAGTGTTGGAGCGCTCCCGCGTCCAGCTCGTCTGACGTCACACCTTTGCGGATGGCGAGATACTCGATTTTGGCCATAAAAACTTGTATGTCATGCTCCATCACTGCGAACTTCTCCTTATGGTCGAGCAACTCCCTCCGAATGTCCACCGGTGGGTCAACGCACATATAACCGTTATCGTCAATAATTGGAAAGGGCTGCAGAGGGATGCGGAGACCCTGGTGCTGTAGCTCGGGAATCAGTGTGCCCTCGGCATGGGAGCACAGATCGGCACGCATCTGGTGGCGGTATCTCTCCGGGCTCACTCCCCGGAACGATATATACTGGCGAACGGTTACGAAACCAGAAGTCACCAGTGCTTCGAGATACTAGCAAGTGTACACACCGCAGTCCAAGCTGTTAGGTTGTTTGGGTATCTGGTGACCCTGTGCAACAAAGGGGCATCAAGGTCGTCCGTATAAGAACACGATCACGTAATGGCAGCAGTTGGCGTTGCATAAGGGATAACATTTTACGAGCAACATGGTTACCTGCATGGTTGTCGTCTTGGCGTTGATGAGCGCCTCCCTAGCCATCTTTGGGTCCACCTCCGGATGATCTCGCAGGCACATGAGGTGAAGTAACCTGCACGATAGATAGCCACACAGTCATATGCCCCCACAAATGTCGCATGTACACTAGTTGTTTGGCACTCCTCAATGAGTCTCACGCTTTGGTGCCGTCGAACGCCTCCGTCGTTTTGGCATGGAGGTCGTCGCTATCGAATAGGATGAACTCCACAGGTGCCGCCGTCGGGGTTACAATCCCACGTTGGTGACCACCATCAACGAATAGTGCTCTCTGCATGACAAACGAGTCACTGTTAGCCGGGATCGATCAACATGCAGTATTAAATGATGAAGAAGCCATATACATACTCGGCAAAGTCTGGGACGGCGATGTAATCGTACTCAAATACCGAGGGGCCCGTGCATCTCCCGATCGGCTTCTTGTGCACCTTGGCATACGCATACGCCTTGCTGTCAAGGACCACCCATGATTTCCCGTTCGGGCATCTAGGGTACCTGATGTTTAGGAGGCTGCACGGGGGCGGGCGGGCAAAGTACGATGAATAAACATCGTAGTGGGCAACTCGGCTGGTTGGCACATGCGTGCGATTACTGAGGAGGCTAAGAATAACGCTTACATGTTATGAAAATCCATGACGGCATCCCCGAGATATGTCTTGTCGGCGAGCAAGACGACATCGTGCGCCGTCACCTGATAGCCAACGCCCATGTGATTATACAGCGACATCGTTTTGAACGTCGATGATTTTGATGCGGTCAACAGAACCGAGATGGCGTCGTTCGGCGTAGGCTTCTCCTCGGCGCCTACCACCCGCGAGACCCATGCAGAAACTGTCGCCGCTTCTCCCTTCTGATCTCTCGTCAGTCAGTTCACGAGAGCGCAGCCGCTTGTTGCCAAGTGACTCTAGGATCGTGGTGTTATCCGCCGCCCTCCAGCCGGTTGCCTACGCGTTGCCATAGCTTCAGTCTTACAAGGACCACGTATCGCGGCCTGTGCTTTGGTCCTGGGTACCGCGGTGACTAAGAGATTGCTAGAGATGCCGAAACCCTAAGCTGGAAAAAGCGACCCGATAGGCATTCGCCCGACAGAACCAGTTATAGGCAGGAGTAGGGCAATGAGTAACAATTTCCCACCACGCTGATGTTGACATCCTTTCCTTCACACGATTCTAGAATGTGGATACCACCATGGCGGTTCGTGATTGGCAGCGGGTCTTGGGCGAAAGGGACAATTGTCAATCGCGTGCAACGCACCGAGGAACCTGTCCCCTCGTCGCCATGCACCGTTGAGACGCGACAAAGTGTTGTGTTACACGTGGGTGTAGCTAAATATCGGACGACATATGTAGAATGGTAAGTTGAAACATTGGATCATCAACTATGATATTATGCTGAACACACTCATAATGGGGATAGTTTTTGACCGCGATTAAATTACTGAACAAAGGCATACTTATATAAGAAGATCTCCACGGGAATTGTGATCGACACGGTCTAACAAGCAACACAAACATGTACCCAAATTTGTGGATACTCGTTACATCCGTACCAAAACACTAAAGGGTGCAGAGAACACACAAACAGATGAGCATACAGGGTACAAACATGTGGTCACAACTGTGTATGACTGCAATCGCCTATGAGATGTACACACGTCAGTGCGCAATCCAAGGCTCGTGTGGCCAGGGATGGTCAATAACAGCTGGGCAGGGCGAGTACACCCGGTGCCCTGGTGCCCCTATAACAGACGCAGTGGTCGGGGTCTGTCAAGTAGCCGCGACCACAGACGCTGCATCCGGCGAACAAACCGGATATAATAGCTGCAGCTCGGGGTAGCGGACGCTATTTCATTTCCATGGCTGCCCTAAAGGATCTCCTGTCGCGCCTGGGCGCTCCTCCTAGCGGCGTCTTCTGCTTTGTTGAGTTTACACTCCTCCCAGGACTGCAGCAATACGTGCACCCATTCTACGGGCGCAATGGGAATGAACTGAAGAGGCTGTCCATCGTAGTGAGCCGGGAACGGGAGCCGATATGGCTGGGCTCTGATGTGAATGGAGACGAGTGGGCGTACATCCACCGTACACGCTCCGGTCGCATAACACCCGAGGTAAGGGTCATTTGATTGTTAACTACCTTATGTCACTTGTATATGGGCTCCTGAAAATGTGCGTTCTAAATGTCTCTGTGATATTTGTTGTTGTCCGTTGCAGCTGTTCACAAAGTTCATGCTAGGCCTCAACGCAGCGAAGTTCGCCGAAGACCGCCGCATCGTCATCGTGTCATCACGTCGGCACAAGCTCACTTGGGGAGAGGGCAAGCGGGAAACAAATGGGACCTTCAGCGTGCACCACCTCACTCATACTCGTATCGTGCAGCTCCATGAGACAGTACCGGACATGGGTAACCCAGTGTTGCAGGGCATTGTGGCGTTCTTCAAGTCTGAATTCCGCACGATGTGGGTGGACCTTGCGGTGGCTCCCGTGCCCACTGCTGCAGGTCAGCTGTAACCCCCGCACATCCGACCATGAGGACGGCTCCGCCCAAGCGAGGACGGGGCCAAACAACACTCCCGTTGACACTCCCCTGCCGCGTTCACGCTTGGGCCCCTAGCCCATACGGCAGTACAGCTCGGAGAAAAGCTCAGCGGCGTGCACACAACACACAGCACGCCGGTCACCGCACCAGCCATGCAGGAGGGTAATGGCACCTACTGCTGCTCGTCGGCGTCGCCGTCGCCCACGCCGGCCAAGCGCACCTGGCCGATTTCGACGGAGCACCGGTTGAAGGCCGGGTAATGCAGCGCCTTTGTTAGGAAGTCAGCCGGCTGCTCGGTGGTCGGGATGTACCTCAGCGAGAACTTCCCGCGCTTCACCATGTGCTGCAGCCAGGCCTGTCTCAGCTCCATGTGTTTGAGGTTGCCCGTCAACCCCATGCCCTCGGCGACCGTGATGGCCGACTTGTTGTCCACCCTCAAGAATGTCGGCTTCCCGGTGTCCAGCTGCCGGAATTCTGCAAGGAGGAAACGAAGTCGGCGTCCCTCCTTGCCGGCTTCGGTGGCCGCCACGTACTCCGACTCGGTCGACGACAGCGTCGCGCACTTGATGCGCTGGCTCGACCAGGAGACCGCGGCCCCTCCGTAGACAAACATGTAGCCTCCTGTGCTCGTCCTGTTCTGCTTGTCACCGGCGTCGTCGGCGTCCACGTAGCCGACCAGAAACAGCGACTCTTGTCCACCGCCAAACTCCAAGGCGGTGTCATGCGTGTTGGCGAGGTAGGCGAGGCAGTGGACGACCTCGCGCCAGTGCTGGTCGCTCCTCACCGTGAGGCCGCTCCCCAACTTGCTGCAGGCGAAGGCGACGTCCGGCCTTGTCGTCGTCGCCGCGAACTACAGCGAGCCGACCTTCTGCCGGTACTCCTCCTCCTCGCGTTCCTGTGCCTCCTCGTCGTCGAAGGTGAGCTCGGCGTAGGCGTCGACCGAGACCGGCGTCTTCGGGGTGCGCCCAGTCTGCTCCTCGTCGATGAAGTGCCTACCCAGCTTGTCGGCATAGCCCTGCTGATGCAGCCACAGCTTCCCCGCTGACCTGTCGCGGACGATCTCCAGCCCGAGGTACTTCTGCACCGGCGAGATCTCGCGCAGCTCGAAGGCGGCTTCCAGCAGCTCCTTCAGCTCCTTCAGCATCGCGGCGCTGCTGCTGGCGGCGAGCAGGTCGTCGACGTAGACCAGCACCCAGCAGGCCACTCCGTCGTCGCCGACCTTGAAGTACAGAGCCTCGTCGACCTGGCTCTTCTTCCACCCGGCGCCGACCAGCACTTCGTTGATCGCCAAGTACCACAGCAGCGGTGACTACTTCAGCCCGTAAAGGCTCTTTAATAGCTTGCACACACGGCCGGTTCTGTAGTTGAAGTAGTCCGGCTGGGACATGTAGAGCTCCCGGTCGAGCTTGCTCTGCAGGAAGGCGTTCTTCATGTCGAGCTGCATCAGGTTGAGGTTGAGGACGGCGACGATGCTGAGGAAGATCCTCAGCGTGACGTAGCTGCCCACCGGCGCGAACGTCTCATCGTAGTCGGCGCCGTACACCTGCGTGAAGCCCTTTACGACCAGCCTCGCCTTCTCTCGCTCGACGGTGTCGTCGATGTGGTACCTCGTCGTCAACACCCACCGGTTCTTCATGATGTTCACTCCTGGCGGGCGTTCGACCAGCTCCTACGTGCCCATCTTGATGAGGCTGCGGATCTCCTCTTCCATGGCGGCCTTCACCGCCGGGCCCTTCCAGCTTGCCAACGCCTCCTTCACCGTCATTGTCGAGATGTCCCAACGGTGCTCGGGGTTGGCCAGCATATCGGGGTCGAGCTCCGGAAACTCCTCATCCTCCTCAGCGTCGCCGTACAGCAGGTCGTCAGCATCACCGTCCACGTCGTACACCGTGGTGAAGGCAGCGGGGACGAAGAAGTCAGGCGGCCTACGGAGTCGGCCTGTCCGCCGTGGTACCGGCTGGACCTCCTCGGCGCCCCCTCCATTGTCGTCGTCGTCACTGTCCTCGGCGTCCTGCTGCCCCTCCTCTGGGTCCGCAACTGCCTCGAGAAATCAGCACTGCCGCCGGGGACGACGCCGTACCAGCTGCTCACCGGGAAGAAGCCCGATTTGTCGTCGGTGACAGCGGATGCTCGCACCACCTGATAGGGACGAAGGAGGCCTTCGTCGACTTGGG